GCTGTCACCGCCACCGCCACCGCCACCGCCGGGCACGGCGCAGCATCCCCCCGCTGCAAGGTGAACCCCGGGCAGGGCTGCCTTCTAGGCTCCTGGTCTTTGGATTGGGGTGTCCTGAGAGCGTCCCCTCCTGCCACCCAGCAGCCTGCGAGCGTGGCCCCGACATCGGCGCGGTGAGCTGCGCCCGTGCAGCGCAATCAGCCGTGCTCATTAACAACTGCTGCACCTTAATGATCAGCACATGGCAGCCTGCTGGAAACAACCCGGCACCGCTGGCATCCGTCCCCGGCACGGCCTTTGGAGGGTGCATCGGGCACCACCGCCATTCTCTCCCACCCGTCGACGTCCCCTCAAAGCACCGTCACGGGGCGCACGGCGGCCAAGCCCCGGGTGGGCTGGGGGCAGAACCGGCTCCGGCAGCGATTCCTCCCTAGCCGCTCAGTGGCCTTGGCAGGAGGGAGAGGGGCTTACGCCGATGGCCACGGGGCAGAGGGAGCCAGGCCAGGCTCGGGGCTTGCTGGTGCCTCCTGCTTGTGCCATGCCGGAGCGTGCAGGGGATGGCAGAAGAACACATTCAACTCTTCTGCAACATAACACTTCTTTATTAGAGTGGTTATCTTTTAACAGCCTTTGATCAGCCTCCCCTGACAGCTGGGAAAGGTCAAGGCCATTTGAAACCTCCCTGATTTAGGATTTCATCAATCTCCGCCTGTAGTCGCCTGCATCCTTCGTTAGCCCCCGTAACAAGGCAGGTGCCAGCTGGGAGGGACACGGGGACGGAGCAAACAGAGCTCCCCCCACCGCCCCGGGGTTCCCCGGCCAGCCGTGACGGAGAGGCTGGCAGGGCTGGGGACAGCTGGTGAGCCGGCAGGGCTGGCCGTGGGGACACCGCTGCCACGGGAGCCCTGCACGCTGCCACAGTCTGGGGGCGGCTGGCAGGGACAGCCTTGCCTGGGGACGTGTGGGCAGCCCCAGGCAATGGGGACAGTCGTGATGGCAGCGAGGGTCCATGCAGAAGCATCAGCAAAATCAACTCCCACCTCCCCGTCCCCGGTGTCATTTCCCCACGTCACCTTTCCCAGGATAACAGGGCTGCCCTCGCACCAGCCACTCCTCCTCCCGCCTGCCTGCACGGTCCTGCCCGTCCTCCACAGCTCAGCCCTGGCGAGGGACGGGGACAGGGTCCAGTCCAGCCCCTTCCCCACGCCGGGCAGACGGGCAGTCACCCCTCCCGCTGCACCCGGTGCAGGCAGGCAAAGGCAGCGCCAGGGAGGGCTCATTTGGAAGGATGAGACCACGGTCACAACCATGCATCCCCTGGAGTCCCTAAAATGCATTTTAAACAACAAAAGGGGCATAAAATCTTGTGCAATCTCTCATTACGGTGCGTGAGATGCTGCAAGGGGCAGCACCGCAGTCCCAGCTCCAGGAGCCCTGGGGCCGCCGGGCAGCCAGGACCCAAATCTCCCTGTTTTTTTGCAATAAAACTCCTTAGCGATGTGTGGGGTAGCTGCGGCAGGCAGAAGGTGCAGAGAGACACATCCCAGCACAGCGATGGCCTGGGGCACCGCGGGCTGAGGCAGGCTTGGCGATGCCCCAGACGTGCCCCTCACCGGGCACGGCAAGCGGGGTCCCTCTGTTCCTGCTCTGTGTCCCCTTTGCGCAGGCTGGGCTCGTGGCCAGGCTCTTTCCCAACCCAAATCCATCCGTGTCACACTGGGGTGGTGAACGGAGCCAGTCTGGACCCGCACCAAGGCCGTTGCCAAGCCGAGGGAACGAGGACATCCAGAGACATCCCAGAGGACAGGGCACGGGAGCAGCACAGCACGGCAGGCAGCGCCAGGCAGGGCCAGGCAGGGCACACCATCTCCATCCCACGAGCTAATGGCACCTATCAGTCACAGGGCACAAAGTGACAGCTTTATGCTTCTCTGCCAGCTTTAGGCTCCCCATGAGAGACGCGATGGGTGCGGTGCAAGGCTGGGGGAGCGCAGAGTCCCACTGGCACTGAGCTGCAACCCGCGGCTGCTTTGAACAGGAGGGGATGCGAATACCAGCGGATCGGCGCGTGCTGTAACTAACCCCGACATTTCAAGCTGGTGCAGGAAGCCTCACTGCCAAATGCGGAGTACTGTTAAGTCCCGATTTAATGCTCACGACCCTCCAACAAGCCAGGCACAGCAGGGAGAGACACGGGCAGGAGCAGAGATTTCGGTCCGTGGTTGCCAAAGGCTCATTAGCGTCAGGGGTTTAGCAATATGATTCACAGGGAATGTGTGCAGCAGCTTTCACCGCAGCCCAGTCCCGGTACCCTCGGTAGAGATCAATAAACTAATTACGGAGGCAAATAATGGCAGGGTGAGAATGGGAGAGGCGGGAGCAGGAGGAAGGAGCCGTCTGCAGGGAGGTCTGGCGGGAGCGGGAGGCAGCTCCGGGGAAGGAGCCGTATGCGGAGGGTGCGGGGCTCCCCAGGGAGAGCCTCCGACCCGCCGGGGGTGCAGAGAAACCTGCATCCCGCGGGGTCTGGATGCTTCGGGGCATGCGGGGATGCTACCGCCTGCCATGGCCCCAGGTGAAGGCGCCAGCACCTCTCCCGCCCCATCAATCACCGCTGCAGACGCTGCCCGATTAGATCACATCGTCCGGCAGCAACCAGCCTGCTTCTGCCCTGCCTCAGGGGTGCGGGGAGATGGTCCAGGCCTGGTTGTCTGGCTAATTAGCAGATAGCAAAGCCTTTCCCCATCCCAGGCATCCCTGTAATTGAGCCAGGCAGCCTCCAGCCCGGCGTCAGCAGAGCCACCAAAGCCGCCTGTGGCTGTTGGCTGGAGATGGGAAGGGAAAGGGCAGGGAAAGGGCAGTGTCATCCGAAGCGACCACGGGAGAGGAAACGCCCCAGTCATCTCTGCCTGTGCTGGCCCTGTCCCTAGGGCCACGGGGGACAGCGGGGTCCCTCCGAGGGCAGTGTGCGGGGGAGGAGCGGGCTTGGTCATGGCTGCTCCGTGCAGGGAGGCAGAGCTGCTCGGGGCCGGCTCGCCACACTGCAAAGGCGATGATGAGCCCTGGGGCTCCTCGGGCTGGCCCTGCACCCCGCGCCCTGGGAGCGGGGACAGTGCCGGGGCCAGCAAGGCTGCATGGCATCACTTTGCTCCCTGCAAAGGTCCTTCCCACCGCGCCATGGGACACCGCAGCTGGGCACCCAGAGGAAAGGAGATGAGAGGAAGCCTTAACCCCCGGGCACCCGTCCCCCAGCACAAACAGGGCCCAGAGCGATGACCCGGCATTTTTGCCATCAGTCATTAACAGAGGTAACGGGAGAGACCGCCAGAAGGGCTGTGGGCAGGGGCACTCCTGAGGACAGCAATGGACAGGGCTGAGACAGGCAGGGCATGCGCGGGGACCCCGTAGCACCCACTCGGGACCCAAAAGTGGGTGACCAGCCCCATGCACCCCCATCTCTCCCCCAGCAGCGTGGGGCGGCTGCAGGCAAGCGGAGCGCAGGAGGAGCAAGCTGCGGAGCAAGCTGCGCTCGGGAGCAAATGCCTCCCCTCCTGACTGCTGGGGAACGGCAGCTGCCTCCCAGTTCCTCCAGTTCTCCTCCACCATCAAAGAGCCCCACCAGTCCAACACAGCCTCCTTCATTCCTGCAAAATGCAATCTTGCTGCCTCCCCTCCACGTATTGGGGAGAAAGGCCGGCTCACCCTACCCCTCCATTGGCAACCAAAGCCCCAGCTCCTTACAACACTCATTTCCAGGACAGGGGTCAAAAGCACTGTTTTCCATGGGGACTCTTGCAGAACAGCTGGGAATGGATGGCAGGAAACTT